CCAGCTCCTTTCCTATTTATGGTCAGGTCTGTCCCCTTTCAGTATGTAATGAATGGTGCCGTCCTGGAAACCTAAAGGAAAAGAGGGAAGGAGTGAAATTTTGCTGCTATGACTGTGTTCCCTGCCCAGAAGGGGAGATTTCAAACAAGACAGGTACATCCTCCACTGTTGTGACAGTCCCTTCTTTCTCAGTCTTTCACCAATCACTTAAACTCCTGCATCAGTTGGTAACCAGAACTGTGAAATTGACATCTCTGACTATATTTCTGTTAGGATTTTGCATTAATTCCTAAAACAGATAAGCAAAGAATGAAAATCTTTTGTACTCAGTAGATGGTGAAACCTCAGTTTAGATGTCCTCAGCACAATCAACCAAATTCTTGTTGTACTTATATCACCTTACATCACTTGCTGCATGATCATCATGCAAATACAGCAAATGATGTCATTTGCAGGGCGATGCTATGATGCGACTGACACAAATGGATGCAAGTTGCATCATGATATCACTACTGATGATAAACTCCCTTACTCATTCGACAGTCAGAAACACCAATGATCCCACCTACCCATGACTCAAATTGGTCTTGTAAATCAAGTTTTCACTATGTGGTTAGGGATGTGTAGAGAGATAGATTGATAGATAGTAGTAACCATACAAGCATACCTATTAATATCTGTAGTTAATTAGCATCCCTACATTCAAATTTTCCAGTGTGAACATCACAATATAATTCACTATACAGTTTCAAGAGATTTTATTAACAGAACACAAATGAAACCAAGATTGCTTAATATGTAGCACTTTTTTAATTCAAAAAGATGCCACTGCTTTAAGAGTTCCATCAAATTTAATGAATGAGTTCCTTAAAGCAGTGACATTTTTTTCCCCAGGTTTATGTGGGTATTTATCAAATATCAGGGAAAAGGTATTCTTATGGTTTTGTGAGAGTGGAAATATTTCATAGTGATAGTTTTTTAAAGTAACGCAACTCTGCTCAATAAGTTCAGCAAATAGGAAAAATAAATGTATTCCTAAACCATGTAGAAACTAAAGTCTTCATAGTTAGTAGATATATAAATTGTGCAATATTTAGAAATATTTTTGGATGTTTGGGTGGTAGGCAAACTCAGCATGGGAGGGACAGAAATTGGCACTGAAATGAAATCTGCTTCTACTTTATTTTAAGATATGGAAAATTGTGTAGCACTTTTTTAATTCAAAAAGATGCCATTGTTTTCAGAGTTCCATTAAGTTTAATGAATGAATTCCTGAAAGTAGTGACAGTTTTGTGAGAGCGGAAATATTTCATAATGATAATTTTTTAAAGTAATGCAACTCTGGTCAATATGATCAGCAAATATTCTTTATATGTAAATGTGTATGTATGTATGTATGTATGTATATATATATATACATACGTGTGTGTGTGTGTATTCCTAAAACTTGCAGAAGCTAAAGCCTCCATAGTTAGTAGTTATATAATTGCTGGAATATTTTGTAAAAAAATATTTTGGGGTGATTGGGTGGTACATAAATGCTGCATGGGAAGAACAGAAATTGACACTGAAATCCAGTCTGCTTCTACTTTTTTTTAAGACATGGAAAATTGTTTCAAATGCCCAGAAGATCAATATCCTACCAAAGAAAAAGATGACTGCATCTACAAAATTGTAATATATCTTTCTTACAAGGACCTTCTAGGGATTTCTTTAGCCTCCACTTCTGTTTCACTAGCTTTGACCACTGCTCTCGTATTAGGAATATTTCTTAAGCACAAGGATACCCCTCTGGTCAAAGCCAACAACCGGGACCTCACCTACATTCTCCTTATCACCCTCCTCTTCTGCTTCCTGTGTCCTCTCCTGTTCCTTGGCCAACCCAATGAACTGACCTGCCTTCTCCGACAACCGGCCTTTGGCATCATCTTCTCCATGGCTGTTTCTTGTATCTTGGCCAAAACCTTCACTGTGGTTGTAGCTTTCATGGCTACCAGGCCAGCCTCCAACATGAAGAAGTGGGTGGGGAAAAGGACGGCAACCTCCATTGTTCTTTTCTGCATCCTCATTCAAGTAGGCCTTTGTGCCATCTGGTTAGGAACTTTCCCTCCATTCCCACAGTTGAACATGCATTCCATGACTGAGGCCATCATCAAGGAATGTAATGAAGGCTCTCCAGTCATGTTCTCTTGTGTCCTAGGCTACATGGGCTTCCTGGCCCTTGCCAGCTTCTTGGTGGCCTTCTTTGCTCGCAGATTACCAGACAGCTTCAATGAAGCCAAATTCATCACCTTTAGCATGCTGGTATTTTGCAGTGTTTGGGTGCTGTTCGTTCCAACGTACCTGAGCTCCACAGGAAAATCCTTAGCGGCTGTGGAGATTTTCTCCATCTTAGCTTCCAGTGTTGGATTACTGGGATGTATCTTTTTCCCTAAATGCTACATCATTATGTTGAGACCTGAGCTGAATATCAAGGAGCAGCTAATAAGAAGAAAGAGTTAAAGCAGTGTTTCTCAGCACGAGCAAGTTCCAGGTATGGGGACCGCCAGAATCCTCAGCCATAGGCATGGTGTCTGGGGAATTCTGGGAGTGGAAGTCCACACTTCTTGGAGTTGAGAAACACTGCATCAAAGGATGTTCTTGTTTTATCTGTTGTTACTATATGCAAATAGTATGAATAAGATGTTGGAATCAAATGTTAATTGTATGATCTCTTATATTTATGGAACTTTACCACAGAGCTGTACAAAGCACTCAAAATTCTCCTCTCAGCGTTGAGGTACCCTTCTCCATCATATGGTTTGGCATTAAGACTTCAAGGATTTTCTCAAGACATGTACATCCTTTCCCCTTCTTGGAGAACTGTATAAATATCAGAGCATCCATTTTGCCTGTAGGGGAGTACCTCCCACTAACTTCTGGTGGGGTCCCCCTGTAGTACGTACTGCTCAATAAACACTGCAGTGAAGCCTTGATTATTCTGTATTGAAATTATTTTGATTTTAGGGATGGTAGGCTGCCATATGGATGCTAACATTTGAAAATGTCTTGTAATTTGTCTCTGAATTTTGTATCGGCAGTTTATTGTCTGCAAATTCAAGTCCTATAAACTTTGACCCATCTTAAGGCATTTAAGCTCAAATCCCACCCTTCAGATGTATATCCAATATCCACATAGCCATCTATGGGAGACTGATATTTGAGATATGGTTCATGTTTTCATCAGTGCTAAATGTCTTATTCCATCCAATTGTAATTGTTTGGGTATTTAAGCTAAAAACCCATTTTCCCTTTTGTTATTTTTAATAAAGCTCACTCTTAAAACAGAGTTGGTCTTAGTTTTTATTATATCACAATCATCATCATCATCATCATCATCGTTGTTGTTATCATCACCATTATTATGTAAAGGTCAAAGCCCTCTGAATTCAGGCTGACATTATACAAATCACCATTGAAAGTCTAATAAGATGTAATAACGTATTAGTTGGATTACAAACAGAGATTAACGTCCTGGTGTCACAGAGTTGCATATTTCCCCCAACATACCTGGAATATGCCCATTATGTTAGAGCATGTGGGACAGGTAAAAACATCAGGAGAAAGGTGGTCCCACACATAACCCAGCCCCATGCCATGTAGTGCTTATACAGGAGAACCAATATCTTGAATTACACCTGGAAGTCTAATGGCAGCCCTAAATAGCAAGATACATGGGTGTACCAAGGTGCTGTCATCATTACCTGTGCCATTGCATATTTATGTCCCTTTGTTAATATTTTTTTAAACATCTCAGGAAGGAAGGTAGGAAGGAGGAACATCTCAGGAAGGAAGGCAGGAAGGCAGGAAGGCAGGAAAGCAGGAAGGCAGGAAGGACCCATTCCACCCATTTGTGAGGCATGGCTCGACTCAGGTTTGTACCACTGATCCGCTGTCCTCTCCCTCCCAAAAATACTTTGGGGGTTGCAGATACTGAGGTTTCTACTCTTATTTTAGCCTCCCCAACCACGTTAAAAATCATGCCATTGAAAATCAGCCATTTTGCCACCAAATTTCAGTGCCGTGATATGGTGATGTTTTGAAGACCACAAAAAGGAGGTTTGGGCCCAGCTTGATTACCCTTGAACTAAAGTATGAAGGAACACAGATCACTGTAAAGCTGACAAATTTTGCTCATGTGTGGTTACTAGAAGGCTACTGCTACTGCTACTGATGAGCAGAAGGGGGAAGGCGAAACGAACACAGAGCTGCAAGTAAAGGTGTCCTTGCAGACCAACCTTAGCAACAAAGACAATGTTTTCCCCTGCAATCATTATCACTGGTGTCTTTGCTAATGCCTCGGGAGCTTTCCAAAACTCAGGTCACAAACAAACCTTGACGTGTTTATAAGCTGGTTGAAATCCTGTCCCTTCCTCCTATTCAGAGCTGTAATTAAGAGTAAGAGGTGGGCAGGGCTGCACCAACACTCTACAACGTTGGCTTCACAATCACTGTATCCTGGTCATAATTCACAATCTGTTTTTTTCAACGTTGTTAGTAGCGTTAGAGGACATATTCTTTTTCCTAAGGTAGAAAGAAGAGCATATTTTTGATTAAGACCAACTGATCTATCTACGTTTGCACTAAGAGTGAGAGTAGGCTCAATCATGTCTCTTTCTGGAAATACTCTTTGCCATCAGTTAGTGTTCCTTATGGTGCTACTATTGCCTCCTGTGATGGGCAAAGCAGCCATTGTGAAATGCCTTTCTATTGATCCTATGCCTGTTCCTCATGAATGGTATCAACCTGTAGGCTTCACCATTGGTGGGATTGTTTCTCATATCTTGTTTCTTTTTCCAAAACCTTCTTTCCAGAAACAGCCTTCTCAGGAGCTTGGCTTTGATCTACCAATGTAAGCAGTCCATCCCTTCCTTTTCCCTTTTCTGGGTGGGCTTGGGAAACTATGGATTTGTAATTCAGAAACTCAGATTTATAGTCACGATTCAACCCCTGTAAGAACATCAGCACACTTTTTTGCTCAGTGGTTGAACTCTTCATACAGCCCAAAAAATCTTTCAGAGGGCTCTGTGATTTGAACCAAAGTAATGAGCAACTGAAGGCAAATGTTATACCTTCATAATAACATTCACAGATTTTGGAGAAGACGTCAGAAGGGGATCTGCAAGAACTGATCAGAAGGAACTACCCATTTTCTTTTTTCAAAGGCAAAAAAGGAAAAAAAAGGAAGTATTGGGAAAGATTCCTATGCTGTATGCATGTGTGTGTATATATATATATATAATTTGTCACCGCCCATCTCATTGAAACGACTCTGGACAGTTTACAAAACAGAGTGGAACAGCTAGAGATAATTTGTACAGACATTTTTTTTAAAACCATTTTTTCACTTATGGAAAAGTGGGTTATTTTGAAGGATGCTAATTTATAAGAAACATAATAAATTACCTGATTGATTGATTGATTGATTGATTGATTGACTTTGATTCTTAGCAAACACATAGATTTTCTCCACAATGATCTGTCCTTCAGGTCTTCCAATGGTACAACCATTGACACTGTAACTGAGTCCATCCACTTTGCTGCTGGTTGTCCTCTTCTTCTCTCTCCTTCCACCTTTCCCAGCCTTAAAGCCTTTTCCATAGAGCAAGAACTTCATATGATGTGCCCTGAGTAAAATAACTTGATTTCTGCCTTGAGTGAGAACTCTGGGTTGATTTGTTTTATGAACTTTTTTTTGGTTTTCTTTGGCTGTCCATGGTATTGTCAGGTGTCTTCTCAAACACCAAAGTTTAAAAGCATCAATAATAATAATAAACAGCTGGCTGACTGTGCGACCAACCATGTACCTTTAACAGCACCAAATAAAAAACATCTGCCTATCCCAGGTCCTTGGGAAGGACTCCATATATGGATCAAAATGCTAAATCTAGCCTAAACATCTGACTGAATGTGCCACTCATCATCATCATCATCATCAACAACATCATCATTCATCATCATAGTAATAATAATCTTTTGATGATACATTTAACACCATCAAACAACATCTGCCTATCCCAGGTCCTTGGGAAGGACTTGATAGGTGGATAAAAATGCCAAATCCATTCTAAACATCTGCCTGAAGACAGCTAACAAGAATTCAACTGAAACACAATTCAAAGCTAAACAAAGCAAAAACCCTCAAAGAGGTAAAATGTACTTTAACTTCCAAAGGTTGCTGTTATCTTTTTAAAAATAAATCTATGACCATGTTTTTGGCATTATTATTAACAGTCACTGAAAGGTTATCTTCTTCCATTCTTTGTTGAAATCTGTTAGAACTTGTAAGGGCTATTTTCAAAAGTGAATTCAGAATAATTCAAATTTTAATCATTCAAAATTATTATAATAGGCCACAACAGGTGAAAAGGATCTGTTTCTATCCCAGTTTTGACCAGGAAAAGGTAATCAGGGTTGGACCTATTTAATAGTAACATGAGAGACCACTAGGAAATACCATGACTATAGGCTAGACTGGAAAGTTGCAAAAAAAAAAAAAAAAAATACTAGAAGGCAAGTTCATACATTGAGAAGAAAGCTATGAGGATGGCTTCAGATGGTGTGACATCTGGAAGTGGAGGAGAGGTGGAGATTGTCTTTCCATTCCACCCTTACAATGTTGAGCTCCCAGTGCTGAAGGGAAAGGTCTGAAGAGACACTAAAATGAATGTGGTTCCATGGAATCAAGAATCAGTACCAGGATCTAGTCATATCCAAACAAAAGCAGTTAATAGCATTATGGTGTCTCATCAAACCTTTTCCATCAATACCAATAGATTGTGGGTAAATAAAGGAAAGAGAATCAGGGTGATCATCTACCTTAAACAGATGTGAATTCTTTAAATATCCATACATACAAGTGTTACACAATTCATTGATGACAGAAAGTTTTAATTCTGTTCACAGTATGATAACAAAGTTTTACCAGCACATCTTGGCTTTGGCATTCTCTGTACATGAAGTCAACAAGAACCCCCAAATCTTGCTCAACATCACTCTTGGGTTCCATGTTTTTGACAGCTATTATGATGCAAGAATGACATATCGGACAACCTTGGACCTTCTTTTCAATTCATACAAATTTATTCCCAGCTATCAATGCAATAGCCAGAAAAAAATAATAGCCATTATTGGGACAATGAATTCTGACATCTCCTTCTTTATGGCAGATATCTTAAGTCTCTATGAGATTCCACAGGTAAGATATATTCAAGGAGAAGTGGGAACATTCAGACATTTTGGGGGAGATTTTGGGTTTTTGGAGAGGCAGATACTAGCTGGGAATAGAAATGGCTGGTTATAAGTACAAGAATATAAGAATAGCTCTGCTTGATAAGGACAGGATTCATCTTAAATAACATTTGGAAGCATTATATTCCCAATGCAGAGATAATATATTGAGTCTTCAAGATTGATTCTTCCTGACATGTCATTCACAAAGTGATGCAACCTCTAGAATCAGC